TTCTAAAGAATGCTTTCAGCACCTTGTTGAATCAATGCCACATTGAATTAAGGCAGCTCTGAAGGCGAAAGGGGGTCAAACACCGTATTAGTATGGTGTTCCTAATAATCCTTTAGGTGAGTGTAGATCTACAATAGTGTTTTAGGGAATTGATGAAAATAAAATAATAGGCTAATGGATTTCGAGGATAAAGTCAGAATATTTCAGTTATAGCTTAATGTAGAAATATTTTGAGATTTAAACTTACAATAATTCAATAATCGAGTCAAATGGAGACAACAAGAGACACCACTGCACCCAGTCACCAAGTCACTTATAATAATGCGTTTTTGGTGGATAGGTGGGGGCACCACTGCTCTATACATACCCTGTACATTTATACATTCAGTCCTGCTGCTCACCTGCCTCTGTGCATCTACAACATGGACCAGGGAGAGGTAGCCCATCGGACCCAGGTGCTGGATGGGCCTGCCCTCCCACTGCCAGATAGGGGCCTGCAACAGGTACCTCTTCAGTTCCTCCTTCTTCCAAGTTTTATCACATGGCACCTCATCCAGGAGGCAGGGCGACAGAAAGCAAAACATATAATGTTAGATAACTGCCAAGCCTAAGATAATACATACAGTACAATACTATAGTACATATACTATAGGTGAACCGAACTGTATCTAAATAAATTGATTTCTACTTTTTACCGGCTGATTTTTATAATAGCCCTATTGTTAACATAGTTTCATTTATTCAGGTCATTATGTTCCCTTTGTAATACTTAAAAGTTAAATGTTAATGTAAAAATTGTGAAAATGTAAATAAAGCAAAAACTGCTGTTCGTAATGATTAAACTCATAGTAGTGGTAAGTCACTGGCAGTACTAGCCTAAAAGTGGTCTTTGAGAGGCTCTGTCACAGCACTCGAGTACTTAATCTTAGACAGACAGCTAGCGCTCCTATTTTGGGATGTACCTTCTGCCTAATGTAACAAAATAAACACAATGTATTAAGGCATTCAAGCACCAAGAAAACATGTGTCTAGTGGCCATAGAATAATGTTGATTATATTGGATTTTCTTTTAATCAAAAGTTGCTAATGATATTTGAAAAGTAAGCGTGACATGTTACGTCTGTTGCAAAGTTGTTCCACATTAAATTAAACATTAACTCGAGATCTATGACGATGGAGCAAGTTTACAGTTTAAATGAGCTTTATTTTTATGTGATGTAGTGCACAATAAAAACTGCATATGCTTTTAAGCCTATAAACTAGGGGTGCTTAAAGACAAAAAAGAAAAGCAAGGAGGGGAAATACAGATAAATGGGGAAAATGCTGCTTCCGCCTTTTCGGTGATGCTAATTACACATCTTGGTAGGATAAGAATAGTCTCAGTGGAACTGAAAAAAGTCATTTTTAGAAACACACTAGTCACCCAGTCATCCTCATACTGAATTTCCATTGAAGGATATCCAAAGGGAAGTCATATACATAGTTAGAACACAAACTGCATTTTTTGACTTTGTATAAACAATAATTCCAGAGAGATGCAGGTCTGTTCAGTAACTATGAGGGTAAACCATATACAGTAATATCAAAATCCTATGTAGGTATTTCTATTGAAAATAGCTGGAATAATGAATAGTTTCATAACGAGTGGTTTCATACATTATGCAGATCTACAGCTAAATATATGCACCAGGGCAATTCCGTTTAGAAACGGCAGAGACTGACCAGGGCCTTGAACCTTTCAGATGGAATTGATAAAGCAAAGTGGAGTTTCTGTACCAGGTAGGACAGGGCGCTGTGAGAAGGGCTGAGCTGCAGCCTGAGGGCTCGCTTCCTCCTCTCCTCAATGCTTCCCAGCCACACTGATCTGTCTGTGCTGCTAGCACAGATAAAGATTCTGGCCTCCACCATTGGTCCTGAAGGGTTAGGGGGGGACAGGGCACCACAGTGGGGCTCATCAATTCCTATAAGCAGCTAAAGTGAAAAAAGTCTCAAGAGCTACAGCATTTACTCAGAATGAGGTAAATCCTATAAGAAACAGACGCACATGACAGGAAGGCTTATGATAGTGATTCATCCCTGGGATAAAGTCATCAGGATTAGTCAAGCCAAGAGAGGTATTCTGACTATTCAGATAAATAAATCCAGGTGATAGTTTACTGTAGACATTAAAAAGCAGTGACATAAAAGCTGAGCTACATTCCCTGCCATATTTTCTGTTGCTATTAAAGCAGGATTTCATCCAATGCCAGTGAAACGACCTGTGATTCTAAACAGCTAACTAAACGAACTTTTGCATGAACTGCTTTGTCAGGCATTTTTGTTCAGTTTGACAAGTCTATTATTACATGTGTGTAGAAATGTACTAAAGATGCTTCAGTGTTAGTTGATGATTTGACTACAGACACTGTTAGCAAATTACGATAATGGGAAAGAAGGGAGATTTCATCTGGTATCAGTAAGGTTATAAGGAATGATTGAACTAGCATGTGTTGGGAAGCTGTTCAGTTGCTTTTCGTTTGGGAAGTCACAATTCCTTGGCTCCTCACACTGCAGGAGGTCACCCTTTATAGACAAATTCACTCACAACACCAACACACAGTACATTGGGTGGTTCTAATGGCCTATTTAGTGTGGTAAAGAGCTGTCCTTATTCTGTATTTAAATAGCCTTTCAATACCTGGTGTATGTCTACATTGTACAACATTAATTATTTTGCTATTCAGTAAATCGTTTTACTGAAACCAACCTGGTGAGAGACTTTGCAAGTAAATATCTTTTACAGCATATGTCCTGAACATAACTATTGTTTTGCCAAAATACAGAAAATCCAGAGAATTACCAATGATCTCAAAGGCATTTGCCATCTTACTGTCTTGAGGAACAGCTTGTACCGATGTTCCAGAGAGTGGGAGAACGCCCTGCAGGAACCACAGGAAGGAGGCCATTCAGCTGATGAATTCACACAGATGCACAGCTAGTAGCAAAGTTGCCATGAAACACGGTAAAACTCACACTTACTACAAAAAAAAGGGTCAGAATTTGGCTCTTGGTGACACCTATGTTTTTCCAAGAAACAAAGGTGGATTTTTTAAAGAAATATAAGCATCTCTGCATTTTTTGGAACGAGTCCTCTTCTCATCCAAAATTTGCACAGCTGTTGTGAAGAACTACTGACTCTCCACATCCACACACAGAGCACACAGATAATCTCAAGCCCTCATACTTCTCTCCTTGGTGAAAACGCAGCGCGGTTCTAATGAGGTTTGTGGCTTTCGCAGATGATCCTCCGCTAAGAACTTCTTCCGCATATATGTTGCAAATTGCAAATCTTTCATCTTTGATAGATATCTGGTAAAACTGCCAGACCAGACACAGTGCCACTGCTGTGTTTGAAACTTCATGCACATATTTTAAGTCATCAACGCACATATTGTACGTTGGTCAAATTAAAGGCCACTGATCAAGTAATTAAGACTGAAAATTGGACAATTTAAATCATCTCTAATGAGAACCAATCAGAATAAAGCCTACCTCATAAATGAAGGCCTGTTCTCTATCATCCATCGCTAAGATCAGCAAATGGAAAGAAAACAAAACCAGATATCGCTTTGTCATCTCCTAGAAAGATACAAGCGATAAGTAACTTAGTTCATAAAAAATCAAAGGGAGAGCATAAACATCATTAAACTACTTTTAGTGTTATTTTGCATGCTAACACTCAATTTTCAATATACATAGTGTGCATATAACAGTAATAGGCTCAGTACTACTCAATACTACTATGTTTCAAACATATTTTCAGTACTATGAGTGCATTGGCACATCCACCTTTCGATGCAGGCTACCTGGGTGTAGTGATTGTGAAGGAACACAATGGAAGACCAAACAATTTCTCCATAGGCGGAAGCAGGCTGGCCCTCCCAGGAACAAATAGGTTTTGAATACACCCACTGGTGCAACTCCTGTCTGCTTCTACCCCACAGGATGGCCTGGAGTGCATGCAGTACATGTATACAATAAGCACATGCATACAGTAGCACATCAAAAAGTGACAAATTTGCACATGGCTATTTAGGCAGCCTTGTTAGTTGCCCATTTCATTAGTATTTATTTCAATGGGGCCACCAACGTGCTGTCACTCCATCCCGCTTACAACAACTAGGCTCAGCTGTTACACAGTGGGAAATAATATTACAAGCTTCTCCTGGACAAACCAGTAATACCAGTGAGGTAAATACCTGTGAACTGGGGCATTCTTTTGGCACTGAAGTGACAGAATAATCTGCATCCTGCAATTAGAAAAAAAACAAAATACATCTCAAATTAAAGTTGGTTGATGATGCAGTGTTATCAGAACCGGGATCATTTATTTATCGCTCAGTACTTTTACATACAAGGAATTTACTTTGAGCTTTGAGGTGTCATGCAAAGCAGTTAAAGACAATCAATATAATGAAATTGTCTAAATAAATAAAATAAAAACTGAAGGAATAAAATTTATTATTAAAAGTTATATTTATATTTATGTATTTATTAATTAAGCCAGAGATGGTAAATGTAAGCAGCCCTTTTAAATACAGGTCTGGAAAAAAATAAGAGACCACAGCACAGTGTTTTGTTTCACTCATTTCACAGTTTATGGGTTTGCATCTGTCTATGTTTTTTTTTTTTTTTTTTGCCAAACTGCAGCCTGGTTCTTCTCTGTTTCTCATTAATGAAGGGCTTCTTCCTTGCTTTATGGGACATCAGTCCTGCTTCTAGGAGCCTTGCTTTATCAATTCCATATATTTAGCTGTAGATCTGCATAATGTATGAAACCACTCGTTATGAAACTATTCATTATTCCAGCTAGCAGTTCACTTCACACCTGCACTTAATGTTTCCCATTCCGTTTGAAGGTAACTTGATGTCATCCTATGATGTCAGATAAGTTGACGGTCATGTCTGCCATTAGAAAGTCACTTCCACCTAACACCTGGCTGGTTTCTGGTCGTTCCCAGTATCTCCTGCTTCACCTTATTCTTGTGTACTGCCGTCTTAGAAATTTTGAACCTGGAAGCATCCTGCTGCTCAGTGTAGCCTCTGCCAGCAGAACCAGGATTAAACCAGGATTTAAAAATGCAGATTTGTTTAAAAATACAGTGGTCTCTTATTTTTTCCACAGCTGTATAAAATAATTTGAGATTTAAAAATAACTGCCATAACATTTATTTCGTACATAACAAATCTGGGTATCCTTAGATGCTTTCATTATTAAGGTGTGAAATGGAAAGTTTAAATACTAATTCATGCAAAATTTTGCCAGTGTTTATTGTAAAATTATTTGGTAAGAGTTTATTTGAGGGGGCAGAAGTAATGTACTGTAGTAATACATTCTTACTTAATGTATTAATTACCCAGATGCTAAGTGTTAGTTACATACTGTATTAATTACCCAGATGCTAAGTGTTAGTTACATACTGATCCCATGTTCCTTCATCATTATAACAATTCATGTATTTCATGCAGTTGCTATATTTGTTCATGATTTGTACTTGAGTAGTAACTGAGTTACTTGTAACCCCTCAAGTAAAGTGTTATAATGACATTTTGGCACATTCTCATTTTGCCAACCATAATGTTGTTGACAGTCTTGGATTTTGATGCTTAGTGTAATATTTTTTACAAAATACTCTGCTTCTGGTAAAAAACATTAATATAACAATCAATTTATTAAACATCATAAAGAAACAAGTACAAGTGAGTAGAGATAAGGTATTAGCCTGTATCGTGTTTATATGTATGGTTTTAGCCAATGTTGAACTTTTTGTGTTAGCATGTCAGCACACACACTGACCTGTTTGAACTCAGACAGAGATGGAGAGGGAAGGGGCACTTCCTGTGAATCACTTCTTTGAAACTGAGATTCACTCCGCCCCCACACCCTGAAAAAGCACAACCATTCATGAGTTAAAAACATTTTTCAGTCGGACAAAGCTAAACCAGGGACGTATCACTCAGCATAACTGTGGCATGTGTTTCTTTCATCTAAAACTTAATAAAAGGTGGTTTCTTTAAAACAGGTGAAGCAGTGCTTCACAAAAAGAAGAGCGAGAAATAAATAGCATTCATATCATATAAAATATTTTCATGCCAATGAATAAATCGCAGCGATCATTTCAATGTGAAACAGAAAAAGTGCAGGAGTTCAAAAAATGCCTGACAAAATATTGTGCAATACAGCACCACCCTTAGGCTGGTGAAAGGAACTTCATTGAAGCAAAACATTTTCTGCCTCAATAAGCGCGTAGATGATAATGTGTTTCTCATCACCTTCTATTTAGTAGTTCATTGGATAGTTATGAAAAGTGATGCATTTTTAAACATAAGCAGTGAAGCCTGCTTCACCTAGACCCTGTATCACAAAGCCAGATTTCTTATTTAGCAGATAAGCCCAGACTACCTGAAATACAGCAGGTTAATTTAAGTGAACAAAGATAAAGTCCATTTAAACTGGGGTATTCCGACTAAGCAAGAAACCCTGCTTTACGACAGAGGTCCCTAGTCTTTCTAATGATTTGTGCTCATAAGTGTTCTGGACATAAAGATGACTGATATACATTTAACCACCATCAGGCAAGATAAACTCACTTGTTTGTGGGCAAGGAATTGGTATACTCTAAGTGAGACATGCTTCCATTTCTAAATACTGTTCTTGTTCATTTCAGTTAATCCCATGTATATGAAAATAATGTCCAGCTTTTTTTGTTCAGTAATTTATTGTTCAAAAACAACATGGCAGTGCAGTTTGTGCAATTAGGTCTCTGGGGAAACCAATCTGTTTATTACACAATTAAATAAAATGCTGTTTTGAACCTATATAGGATGGATCCATCTAGAATTTTTGGACTGCACAATCGACCCACCGCCACCACAAATTTTATCATTGTGGATACAGTGTGAGATGGGGAGGGGGTGACCTCTTGAATTTCTTCAGCTTGAAAGTAGCAACCCTACCACTGAAGATTGATCGTTCGATCAACGAATTCCTGCGGCTCCAGTTAGCCGAACACAACGACATGGTGAGGAAAGAGCATGAGATTCTGAAAAGGCAGATTAATGCAATTTAATTCTTGGGTTGACAAGAGCTGGCATTTAGGCGACATTATGAGGGTAAGAACTCTGACAGGGGATAGGGAGTTTACAGATATGCTTTCCTGCTAGGGTGATGTTCTTCCTGTTGTTAGTGTGCTTGTTTTGCATAAGAGTAAAACAGTAATGTAAAGCTACGTAGCCTACTCCTCTTTTAATCAAGTCACTCCATTATTTTACTTGTATTCCGATTGTGACTATATTTCAGGAAATGGGTGCATCTGTTGAAAATTGTTTTAAAAAACATTTCTTTCAGCATTGATTTCTAAGCACCAGTTCACAGGTTAATAATTACACAATTGAAGGCTTTGGGTGCATGGCAAATAGGGTTACATTTGAGTGAAATTAGCAACCAATGGAAATGCTTAGTATAGTGTCAAAATTTTAATATTTACCATAATATTGATAGTAATGACTAATACATTGATCACAGAAAGTCTTGTGATGCTTGCTTAATGCAGTAAAAACATTGCAAATTTATTGGTTGTATAACAAAAATCATTACTTTATTCATTTATTTACAGAAAATATATATCACATTAGAAACAACAGTACTTATAAATATTTATTTTAAGTAGTAATAAATTGACAGCTCTAATTACAGTTCTAAAAGAGTTGTTCTGAGTCAAAAAGTCTCATTTGGATTATTTTTTTTATTAGTAAAACCTTTGAAATAATATAAAACACCAAACATTTGTGTTTAGTATCCCTTTGGGAGCCAATGACTAAAACGTTTGGTCAGCAGCTGCCACTGCTCAGAGTATAGAAACAACTTGTTTACCTTGGTCCAGTAACATGAAACTCTTATATGTAATCTGAGGAAACAATCTTAAATGACTGTTACAAGTACAAAACAAGGGAAGTAAAAAGTGAATTAATATCTGCTGTCTAAAGAACATTTTTCATGGTAACACTTTACATGATGGAGCACAAATAATATGGTATTAATTATGTATTATTACTTATGTATTAATTAACTACAAACTAAAGTCTTAGTTACATACCGATCTCATGTTTTACCTCAAACAATCACTATATTTGTTACTATATCTGTTACTTCTGTGAACCTTTGTGAACTACTAAAGCAACAAATAATTAATAACACATTTGAAACACTGATCTCATGTTTGTTCATCATTAATGAATTGTGACGCACAGGACCGCCGAGAGAGAATACGGGCCCCGGTACGAAGGAGGTGTGTGGGCCCTTATACAAAATTCTACACACATGTATGTGTGTATATTATTATTTATTTCTAACAATTGTAAATTACATTGATACTTCTAAATGTATGTATAGGTATAAATGTAATAATAAAGTAATATATTTATAATAGTAAAAGATGTTTATAATAACATTTATTGTCTGTTGAACAAAGGTGCTTTTCTGGCCTTTTAATTAATCTGTTTTGCTAGATCAGACTCAATACTGAGTCTTGCCAAATCTACTAGTTGAGCTTGTGACATAGTGGATCTTAGAAATTTTTTTACCAGCTTCAGCTTGTTGAATGAGCGCTCTGCAGAAGCGACAGTGGCAGGAATTGACAACAGAAGAAAGAGTTTTTCCAGTTTGTACTTTTTCAAGCAATTCAGCAGCTCCAATGGGCTCAGTTGGTTTTCTCCAAAATTTGATCGATGAACAGCTAGCAGATGACTCATCTCCATTACAAGATCTTCACCGATATCAGCAGGATATACCCTGTGACCCACGTGCCTTTTTAATTTTGAAACCAAACAGCCTTGCAAAATTTTAAAAAAGACAATAAAAATTAAATGAATGAAATAAATAAATGTTGAAATTACAGTGATCCCCCGCCTACTGCGGAAGTTACATTCCAGACCCATCAGCGAAAGATGAAAATTCGGGATATAGAAAGACCATATAAATAAAACATTTTTTATATATAGTTTAACCCTTAAAATACCCCTCCCACACTCTTTAAACACATGTAAACTTATTAAAGCACACTTTGTAAACACATATGATATGTGGATGTCGGGCTAAGGATATGAGTAACATAAATTATAAATAAAGTATTATATAAAGTATTATAAATTATAATATGTATTGTTCTAACAAACTCTTGTCTAGCACACGTAGTGACAAATGAAAAGCGTATGTACATTTCGTTATGAATTGCGACTGTGCATGTCTACGTATTCCTGTACGTAACAGTAGCTTATGTTTTATGATTTACTAGTGTATTGCTTAAATGTTACATATACGTTAGTTATCATAAATTATAATATTGTTCTAATGAATTTTTGTCTAGCACACGTAGTGTCTGCTGAAAACCGTATGCTTTGTTATGAATAGGCTGCAAAGTACAGTACACTACAGGTAGGATGTACTTATTGAATTTTTACTCCATTTTTATTTACGTATATACAGTTATAATTACATTAATTACATGTTGTTATTAATAGTTTAGCATAGAAAAATGCTTATTTCAACGTAAAAAGTTGTCAAAAACCCATAAAAAAGATCACTATAAAACCGCAGATTTCTGCGATAGAAAATTACAGTACATACGTTCCACAGAAAAATCTGCGATACGGCGGGGGCGCAATAGCTGAACCGCAGTATAGCTGGGGATCACCGTATAATAAAAATTATGGGACGAGTTGGACTTCATGGGCCCCCTTGGGTTTCATGGGCCCCCTTGGGCTTCATGGGCCCCCTTGGGTTTCATGGCCCCCTTGGGCTTCATGGCCCCCCTTGAGCGTCACAGGCCCCGGAGCGATGCACCGGCTGCACCCCCCTCTCCTCGGGCCTGGTGACGCATCTTTTATCCCAAACAGTTACTGTATTTGTTACTAGCTATTAATTCTGTAAACCTTTGTGAACTAAAGGAATGAATGACAAGTGAAATACTGAACTCATGTTTGTTCATCATTAATCATGATGCATCTGTTACCTGAAGCAGCTACTGTGTTTGTTTTAAGATGCCACACTTGGGGAGAAACCACAGGACAGCAGTAGAAATTTTTATATGACCTACTGTACTGTATATATGGGCTAGACACTAAAATAAGGGCAGACAAAAGCAGATATAAACAGATTAAATCGGATGGCAAGAGACTGCCGTCTTACTGCTGCATGTTAAAAAATATCCCATCTCTACACTACATTTCTATGGCAAATCTATCTACAAATCGATGGAGAATTTATAATATTGAGCAAATTGTATGTTTAACATGATTTAACATGTATTTGGCATTTTTGCATTAAACCAAGGATTAGGTACAACATTATTTATAATATACAGAATTGTTTATAATCAGTTCAATGTTCCATAATCCGTAATGTAATGTAGTTTAAGTTTTATACACACAAATAACTTCAATAACATGAATAATGAGATATTTAATGATACCTTTTAGTTGTTAATTTCAAATAGGGTATCATTTTCCTATATCATTTCTTAATATATCAGTATAATATAATTTCTGATTTTGAGCTATTCCAACATGAGACCCTCACCTTTAGACTTTGTTTCTAAACGCAGATACTAAGCAGACACTAATTTCTAATCAAGTAACAGACAACTTTTGAAATGATTGCTTATTTTGGGTAATTGTACTTGAACTGGAACCTCTGCCCTCATGCACATACAATAAATAACAATTGTGTGAAATTTCTGTTTTGACTCCATTCCCTTCAAACTACACAACACGTTGTCTTCAGTAAGATCAATTATAGAGTGCTATAGAAAAAATAATGTGCATCGTGTCAGCAGGAGAGCTTAAATGTGCCAAGGAAGCACCAGTATCTCTCAGCAAAAGTGGCAGAAGAGTGTGGGGCACCTCGGTGCTCAATCCAGCAGCATGAGAAGTCCTACAGGCTGGAGTGCCTGACAGTCCAACGGTTTCTGGAGGATCGAGAGCCTTACCCTGCACTGCTGATCTCCAGAAGCTCAATCTCATCAGGCCCCACTTCCGTCATGCCAGCATGTCTCTGGGTCACACTGCAACAGCCCATAGCCAACGTCCCCCTCAACGTTTGCGCTGATGAACGATCACCATCTGTCTGCTTACTTACCCACAAGGCTTCTGCAGAGAGCCAGTAAGCGACAGGGAGGAAAAGAGTGAGAAGAAGACGGATGGAGAAAGAGAGAGAGAAGCTAAACAGAGAACTGAGAGGCCTGACTTTCCTCCAGCTATGAAGCAAAAAAAAATGTAATCTAAACTAAATAAAGAAAAAGAAGAGAACAAAAAAAGAATGCAAGTGCAAACTACAGTTGACGGTTAAAGTGGGTTTCTCTTCAGCTGTCAGATGGGTATATGAAACTCACGTCTGCAGGAGAATGTGGTAACTTCCTGGTAACTTCAGTATACTGATGCGCAGCTGCAGAAAGTGCCACTTCCTCTGCTGCTCTGAGACTCAGAAGTGTTTGATGCATGTTTTGGGTTTGTCTACAATGCCACAAGAGCCAGCTACTTTCAGTTTAGAGCAAGGTGCAAGGTGTCTCACCTCACCTCAATGCAGGTGTGGTGCAGGAGGATCCAGGACTCCAACCTGGACTGGGACTGACAAAATGGCCAAAAGGGGTAACCTGAGTGGGTGGTACCCCAAAAAAAAAAGGAAAAAGGAAAAAGGGGAACACTGCACCTCCACATAGGTTATGTACCAATGTTCAGGCTGTGTTAAGGCTCAAAGAGATGGTTGCACTTGATGACAACCCTCAGTGCCGGGATGCAGTCGATGGTAGACTTCTTAGGTGCAAAGCGATACTGCTCCGGTCGTTGGTCGGCAAGCAAATGATTGTGGATCCTGCTGATTATGACCCTAGCATTCAACTTGCTTTACAGAAATAAAAGAATATAAGAATACAGGTCAAAAGCATGAAAAAGGAAACTAAAATACACAGCGGTGCAGAACATAAACAATAGTGTACAGATTTAAAAAATTGTAACTATGTGCTTCATAGTTGTGACCCTTTGCCACTCACACTTGTGAGTGCTGCTGGACCTGAGCCAGTTTTGAATGGGATTTACTTAGAAGATGAGGTTTGGATTTCCAGTGCTGGGTTGTGGAGTGAGATGCCATGGAGAAAGTGGGTACAGGCCTGGAGATCACAGTGCTTTTGTCAGTAGAAGTTGTCTTGGCATTAGGAGGCATCTTTATGCAGTGCTGGGGGAGCTTAAGAGTTTTCTCAGCTTGGTTGTGCTGCACCATAGCAGGCCTTCTGAGGCCGGCCTCCCTCCTTGGTGTCCTTCCAGGATGTCCCACATGCCTGAGGGCGGGCCCCCGCATATTGCTGCCCTGTGGGAGGGCAGGCCCCTGTGCATTGCTGCCCTGGGGGAGGGCAGGCCCTCGCACATTGCTGCCCTGTGGGAGGGCAGGCCCCCGCGCATTGCTGCCCTTGGGGAGGGCAGGCCCCCGCACATTGCTGCCCTGGGGGAGGGCAGGCCCCCGCACATTGCTGCCCGGAGGGAGGGCAGGCTTATCCTCTCCACTGTAGAGCAGGACAAACTCCCTCTGGCTGGACAGTGGGAACACAGGGAGGCCGCAGCGGCACTTATTGAAGATCTCCAAGGTTATGTCTTAGAGAGGAAAAGTGACACATTATTTAAGATCAAGCCCTGGACGCCTGAACCCTGGGACTCCCAGCAAACTCTGTCTGTGGTAAAGCTGACAATAAGGAACAGCAGACAGCATTGCATTACTGCAGAACAACACAGCGGACAGCATGGCATTACTGCAGAACAGCACAGTGGACAGCATGAAGTTACTGCAGAACAGCACAGCAGATAGCATGAAGTTACTGCAGAACAGCACAGTGGACAGCATGGCATTACTGCAGAACAGCACAGCNTACTGCAGAACAGCACAGTGGACAGCATGGCATTACTGCAGAACAGCACAGCAGACAGCATGAAGCTACTACAGAACAGCACAGCGGACAGCATGGCATTACTGCAGAACAGCACAGCAGACAGCATGAAGCTACTGCAGAACAGCACAGTGGACAGCATGGCATTACTGCAGAACAGCACAGTGGACAGCATGGCATTACTGCAGAACAGCACAGTGGACAGCATGGCATTACTGCAGAACAGCACAGTGGACAGCATGGCATTACTGCAGAACAGCACAGCAGACAGCATGAGGTTACTGCTGAAC